TGCGCACGTCGTTGTTATTCGAGTCATGATTTAATAGGTATGCACGCTAGCTAGATTGATTTATTTTGTTCCAGGGAAAGTTTTCATTCTTTTGGAGAGTTCAATCATTACGAAATTTGAAGTAGAAGAATTAGGAACGCTTAGATGTAAGAAAGTTACAAGATTATTTATCCAAACTATTATACCTAAATAATTTATAAGACATGGTTGATTAATATTCCATCGAAAAAACTTTAATATATGTTTCTACAAACATTTCTAATCAATTAGGATCGAGAAAAATCACTGATAGCGTAGTAATTAAAATTCTAGAAAAAGTTACAAGATTTATTATCAAAACTATTATACCTAGATAATTTAATAAGAGTGGTCGATTCGATCGAAAAAAACTTTAATATATATATTTTACAACATTTCTAATAAAAATAAGGAATAGAAAATCTGATTAGGTAGTAATTAAAAATTCTATCTTTATTCTTCTGGTAAAACATTCAATGATATTATTATAATTGAATAAATATGAATAAAGTTTTTTAAATTAAGTTATATTTTACATAAAAATAAAATAAGACATAAAAAAATTGTATTACTTTGGTGTATATATATATTTAATTTAAATATAAATTTAATATATTTAGTTTAAAATATTTAATTAAATTCAAATATTTCATTTGTGCTCATTTTATATACATATGCTTATTATATATATTGGCAGTAATTAAAAATTTATTAAATTTTTTATTAAACTTGTAAGACTTATATATATATCATTTGAATCTTTTTTAAACACTTGACATATGAAATTTGTTAATTAAATTATTATTTCTTGAATCTATAAATAAAATTAAAGTCGTAGGAATAAATAACACACAGTACTTTCTCATAGTCCATTATTGTTGCACTATAAATCTGTATTAATTACCAACTTGAGGTTATTGAATAAAGGAGTGAATTCTTATCAAAAGTAAGTAATTGACTTGCCAACGTCTAACATAATACTTTAAAGTCTAAATATATAGAGGCCAGTACAATTTACAAAATGGACAGCATATTATGTCATTCCGTACTTGACGGTCTATTTAAAGTTGCAGCGTATCGTGGCTGCAGACCACAATATATGTAACACTGAAGAATAAATGTATCGGATGCGTTAGAGTCGATTTAGTAAACTTATCTCTAAGTGTGTAAAGTATCATGAACGAGTATGATTTTACAAATAATTTTTTTGAGAACGTATTAGGAATGACTAAAATCGGACAACAATATTCGATATATATATAATCAGTTCAGTTCAGTTATCATATAAACTTAACAATTAAATATTTTCTTCCAATAATAATAATGTATATTTCTAATAATGTTTTTCTAATAATAATGTATAATAATTCTATTTAATAATATTGGATATATCTATAATACAACACTGTGTGTGTTATTAATAGAGTTGTCTCTATTGTGCAAGTTGTCTCAAGGCAACGTGATCTTTAAAGCAGCAAAAAATTTTTAAAAAATAAAAGAAAATATATATTCAAATTTTAAAAAAGGAACGATAACTACCAATAAAAAACTATATACATTTTTTTTCAACTAAAAATTTGAAACAATGCTCAAATTGGTTTTTTGAAAAACATTTCTACAAAAAAAAAAGTTGCTTCATGATATCAAGAAACAATAACTCATCACTGATCAGATCGCTTAACATTTAGATAAAGTTGTTATACAAATTAAGGATTTAATTAAAT